TCAGGTTATAATTAATGGCACTCTTTTAAAATTTGGTTTTAGATTTACACTGGTTTCGAAACAATCCATTTTATACCTGGAACATTCAAAATTTAAATTTGAAAGATATAAATTACGATTAGGACACATTCTTACTTACTTGCACTTTTCGAATAAATCACTTTAATATTTATGGAACACGCATTTGAACGCACTCGGTCATACAACTTTCACACACGTTTTGATTGTTTGGAATTGTGAGTGTTAAGATTTATTGGCAGATATAATCAACACTTAGACAATATTAACGATTGTTGATATTATCTTTTACATTACATCGCAGAAAGTCGTTACTAATCAGTTGTGCGATTTTGTTGTGAATAAAGAGGTTATGTTACTCTTGGTGCTTCATTAGTTTACTTTATTTTGATGAGATGGCGCTGCTTACGGTATGTTGAACAAAAGAATTTTAAACGAATCGCGATTTTATTCCACATTCTTCTTTTTGAAATGCTAATCAAGCATTCAAAGCTTTTTTAAAATAAGATGTTGATTCTTGTCCGGAGATTGTTTCGCTAATGAACTCAAATTTATTGATAATTTATGCTAATACGCCTTCGTACCAATTGAAAAACAGATTGGATTCGCATTGGCGAATTTGATTTGAGTCTGGTGTACGAATAAGTCAGCGAAGACTGAGTTGAATATGTTAAACATTGTTCCTTAATATTAAGCTATGGCGACTGCCAAAGCTGCTAGAAATTTATTTCTGTTTCAAGATATGAAATACAAGAACAAATTTATTTCAAATTTCCTTTGAGCTGAACGGTAGTCGACGCATAAACGCCTACTTAAAAATTATTAGCTCTTTTTACATTCCAATATCCCGGACAAGATATAGGCACGTGGTTTGTGCATTGTTACAATGATTTCCAAATTGATTTATGACTTATACAAAGAGTTCAAGTAATAAAATCATTTTTGTGAAATTTTATGAGATAATTTTAATATATGCAACCAGTTATACACTAATTTGACATCATTTCATTACCTTTTTCGAAAAATTTAATTTTTTTCTTTAATATTAAGAAAATCAATTTCATTCCAATGGAAAACGACTCAAACAGATGATTTTTGTTTATTTTCACTTGTGTTTGAATATAATAATCCAATACCCTGTATGAATTTAGTTAAGTTGCAGTTGCATACACATCGGCAGAAATAAATGCGCACGAAACAACGAATATGAAACATGATAGACCTCCCAGTATTCCACCTAACCTGTATTAATCTCTAATCAAAACGAGTTTAAAATTAAATATTCCAGCGGTAATAACGTCTCCCGGTGCACGCTCGTCGCCGTCGCGGCCGCTGCCCATTCGTAACATAATCTATTTGCGCCGGCATTTAATAATCTTTTAATTGACAATTAACGTACTATGTGGCGATTTTTTCCTCTCTGTCGACTTAATAAAAACATGCAATAGATTCACCATTGATGGCATGCAGATCATCAAATCTCCGCGCAGCGAGGAATGCGCAATCGGGCGACTTAATTAATTGCGCCACTGGGGGGAATATAAACAATTTACTCTTTGTCTTGTACACACAACGCCATCTACATACACCTCTGTTAATTCTCACATTGAATGCGCATAATATGTCGGAGTATGAATCGACTTTGAAAACTGAAAATAAGATGATAATAGTCGCGATGCGCTTGTGCGTAGTAAACCGCTGTAACATTTCAATGCGAAACCAAAAACCGGTTAAATGATGAAGAAATAAAAAGCAACGTTTTGACTATTTACAATGCGCACGCAGCGGCTGGAAGTTGTCTCATTTAAATGTAACCCTATCTGAACGATGAAACGAATGCGCCTCCATTGAAAATTAAATTGGCTACCACTTTATGTAAACGCAATAAAAAGTATAATTTTATCGGTTTAAAGCGCACCGTGTGCGTATTAAGATAGCTGCGCAGCGACATGAAAATTGAAAAGTCTCAATCGCGGCGTTTGAAAAACGTGCAAAAAAAATAAGTTATTTATTTATTAACACACTGAATTGAATTTATTTCATCAAAACCGCGCTTAATTATATTTATGTAATCGTGACTTTTTTTTATATGAATCTGTTTGTTTTGCACCGGAAGTGGATTAAGGTTTTTCCATGTATCATTGTCACATTGAAATGCAATTTGATTGTAAAATGTATTTATGTAATTAAAATTACGATATTATATTTCTGTGAAATTGCTCTTTAGAAACGCAACTGGTATAAATTCGTGTCGCTGAAAGTCAACTTCAGTACAATTCACAACTTCAAAGTGTATCAACATTAAATAACACAACCATGAATTTCAAATTCAATTTGTTTCTTGTTTTAGTGGTGGTTTTGATGGTAAAGTTAATTATTTGTTATTTTTTATTCGTAATAATTAATTATTTTTGCTTTTTAAGTATTTTAATGACATAACCTCATCTGAGAACCCTCCACCTGGCCCACCGCCAAATGGAGCCCGTCCATCTGGCCCACCGCCATCTGGTTCACCACCAGGACCTCCACCATCCGCAAACGGCACCAGATCATTCCGTAGAGGACTCCTCCCAAGGATGGGTAAGTTTAAAGATGGCCGTGCATGTGGTGGACGTTCCACAACAGGTATATCAGCAACTATACCTCAATTTAATTTTTTTTTAATAACTTTGATGTAATTTTACAGTCGCACCCGGAGCATCACCAGATCCACGCACCTAACCTCAACTTTCAACTACAATCTTGTATAATGCTGACCACTTGTATATTAAATAAATGCATCATAAATTAAGCAATTATATGCATTTTTTCTTTTTGTCTTTGGGAATTTATATGTAGCTATATCCCTTATTAATTAATTAATAATTCAATGTAAATGCACTCGCATAGTTGAGTAAATGAAGTCCTCACGAACGCTGGAATCCGAATGCTGGTAGAAAAATCGGCAAATAAAGGAAACAAAGACATTAAGACTCTCGCCCTTGTGAGCCAGCTACACCCGGCGCTTAATTGGCGGCGATCGGCGCGATGGAATGCCGCCGAACTGAAATACAGAAATAGACACGCATTCTCCGGCACTGCGCGACGATTCATTATTATTGCGGACGGGGATCTTCTTCGACTCTTCGTCTTATTGTTCGCGCTGTGCTGCGGCATCAACATCGACACTAAATTACATATTTATAATTAAATCTGATGCGTTGTGGTGCAGGATGAAGTGATTTACATAAATTATTCAATCTGCATTTGTTTTACACCTGCTATTCAACAACACCAATTACAGATTTCTGTAATTTTTCAATTTGGTTATGTCAACATTTTTACATATTTCCAGTCATTATTTGTTCTTAGAATGACTAAAATGAATCAATGACATGACTCAGATGTTCTCTGAATAATAATTGTAACAATTAACCACGTAAATGGCTTTAAACTCGGAATAATTCTCAAACAGTTATCTGCGTTCGCCTTCTCGCTGACATTCTGTACGAATGTGCATGCGATATTAGATATATTCTCGAACGGGGAATATCGGATGCGAGCTGGCACCGTCGTTCGTCAATAAAAGGAGCGAACGAGATTTCAAGGCCCCCACATTTTGCTAACGCCGGCAGGTTCGAAACTCTCTTGCAAATGGCGATGAGTCCTCGTGCGATGACGTGCGGCCGGCTCCCGCCGATCCTCGTGGGCTGCAGGTGCCGTTGCAATTCGTTCTCTCGACTTGTCGACTCGAACGCAATAACGTTCTTTAATTCGCGTAATAACTTCTTTTCTCTGGTCATTGCAAAAGAGGCTCTTCACTCCGCAACCCAAACGCAATTTCTCAACATTTCGTCTTACAACTCTCTTCTTCCGAGTGAAGAAGTGAAGAAGACTGCAAGGTGAGAGAATTTGTTATGATGTCATGTTTCAGTATTGGTGTGCTATCAGCACGCAGTGATCTAAATTGTCGATGAATTGGTGAATGGTCTTGATCCGTGGACGTCGTTCTGCGATTGTTGCGATGCGAATTAAGCGCTTTCATTGGTTGCTAAATTGTTGTTAGACATGCGACGATGACTCGGAAACCCGTCCTGCAGTTGAAAAGCGCTTCATTCATAAGTTGGTGGCGATTTTTTCGCGAAACGCGCTTTGCAGGTATGCAAATATTTCATTCGGAGGATTTTATTTCACATTTACATGCGGTAAACACGCGGTAAATAATTCTGTTTTTGGAAATCTCCGAAGGAACATGAAATGATTAATTGCAGCTACATGTTTTTGTCAGCGACGCTTAGTATGCAGGAAATTCGCAGGTAGAAATTGCAAATTGTTCCGTGAGATCATCGCCATTATCAAGCCGCAAGATGGCGTGGGTGGAAACTGTAGGTATGTTGCTTTTCTCGAATGCATCTTGCAATTTTTAATAAAATCCACAATAATTTAACATTGTTGTGTGTACGGCAAGTAATTAAAACTAAAAACAAGTCAACTCAACATAATATCCTCTTTCCTGCATTATTCACGTGCTTAATGTTTTTAAAATAAGAATACAAGAATCAAGAAGAAGTTCAGGAATAAAAAAAGCCGCATTGCAATGCGATGGAAGAAATATGCCACCCGAAGATACGGCAGGCGATGTTAGATCAGATTAGCGATGTAGATTAAAGCCTTGATTACAGGAAATAGCTCCGTGTTAGCGCGTAGATCTTCGCCAAACAGCGTTCGTGATGCGTTCGTCGAGCGACGTTTCGATTCGAACATGTTTGGCGAACATGCTCGCCGGATGAAATTACATCGGTTTGGGCAATTTTAGAGAGACACTAAATTTGCGCGCAAACCGCGAGAGTGATTTATGAAAAAGATAATTTACATTCAAAACCTGGCTGTGACGCTTCGCTTGCAGCGATTCACACGGAATATGAGTAGAAAAGTCGGTAAAAATTGCCAATAATTGTGAGTTATTAATGACGCTACGTGTTGCTACTATAGGCAACCCAATATACACAAAAACGTGATTTTTATTATTAATATTTGTTTTTTAGCCCAAATAACCAACACCTGTAAACAAAATATAATAAACTTAACAAATAATTAATTAAACAATAACACGATTTATCAAATCCCGTAATTCACGTCGTAGAATTTTTCCAACAGGCGTTTTTGGGATTGAATCAACAAATTGAACGCCACCTCTGAGGTATTTAGGATATGAAACAAGTTCTAAAAATATAACAATATAAAGTACAACAATACAACAATTAACAATAAAAAACCCTATAAAACACAATGTTTATAAACTTACTTTGAATAAATTCCTGTAAATCACTCGCTGTCAACTCACTATTTGCTTTCTTAACAATAAAAGCAAAAGGTAATTCACCATGAGTATCATCTTTTAACCCAACCACAGCAGCATCAATAACATCTCCATGAGTCAAAAGTAAACCCTCCAGTTCAGCTGGAGGAACTTGGAAAGCATTATACTTTATCAAATCCTTTACCCTATCAACAATATATAAATATCCATCGTTGTCAACATAACCTAAATCACCAGATGCAACATAACCATTATTAAGAAAAGTATTCTCAGTTTCTTCGGTATTTTTATAGTAGCCTTTTGTTACTATTGGCCCACTCATTAATACTTCTCCAATTTCATTAGGACCCAAAAATGTTTCAGCAACAAGCGATGTGCTACGAATTGCAATTTTAACACCTGGTAAAGCTTTACCTACGGAAAATGCTTTTGCAGGGTTATAATCAAGAGGTGTGCAGGTTGCAGCTAGAGTTACTTCTGTCATTCCATATACTTGACCAATAGTAATATTTGGTAAACTAAAATTTCAGGTGTAATTATTAATTTTATTCAGAAAATAATTTTTACCGTTTTGTAATTGCTTCAATCACGTTTTCAGCAAGAGGTCCACCTCCAGAAACAATATATTTAACCAAAGATAAATCATATTCATTAACTTTAGGACTTTTTGCAATCCAAACCATTAATGGCGGCACTAATGTCAAAGAATCAATTTGATATTCTTCAACGCTTCGCAAAAATATATCTTCGTTAAATTTCGTCATGAATTTGACAGTTTTACCGGTTGCAAGTAAAACTAAAGTCATTATAAATCCGTAGGCATGCGAAAACGGCACTATTACTAATGTATTCAAAACGTGCGATAATAACAAGTTTTCATCTCTAAAAGTAACAAAAACTTTCAATGATGTATGCAACTTGTCATACAATAACTAATAAAAATAATACTTACTGAAATTGATTGTAAAAATAAGAAATATTTTCATGTTTTAACATCACTGCCTTTGCCAATCCAGTGGTCCCTGAAGAAAACATCATTGCAGCCACCAAATCATGATTATCAAGTTCCACAATATCCGGTTTTGTATTATTAGCATCAGAATAATCAATATCTTCCAAAACTATTATTTTCTTGACAAATTCTAAATTATTATCAACACAAACAGAAGAAATCACTGCAAACATTGCACGTGAACAAAAGACAACACTTGGCTTTGTTGTATTCAATGCATTTAACAATTCAACTATAAAAATAAAAAGTATAAACAAATAAATTAAATATTTATTTTATTTTGCTTTAGTTTTCTTTAAAATACTTGCTTTTTGCGTAGGTGTGACTTATGTTCACAATCGGGCAACCCAGATATAAACAGCCCAAAACTGGAATGAAGTAATTCAGATTATTTTCGGAACAAATCGCTACACGATCAATGCATTCCAACGATTTCATATCAGTCAGCAAGCTAATAACTGAGGCACTTTTTTCCACAATCTCTTTATATGAAAGTTGGGTTTTATTCTCCACGTTAATCTAAAATATTGAATAATATTAATTAAAACTTAATACTTTGATTGAATTAAAGTAACTTACAAATGCAACTTTATCTTTGGAAGTTTCCACATGTTTTCTTAGCAATTCATAAATTAAACTGCCAAATGGTTTGTTTGCAAGAACAGACATCGCAGTATTTACTTTGTAACACACTTTTACTGAACAACTTCACTTTACAAACTGAAATATTCAATTCTAAATATCGATATTTATATTTATCAATTGTAGGACATCAATTGTATCGTTGTCGGTCTGATTTTATCGTGACATTGAATCTTAAATTTAAGCCTGTCTCAATTTATACATAGAACACCACTTCAAACACAAGAAAAAACGTAATTACGGCATAGTTACATAAATCTACATAAGAAATTTTGATCGTAGGCATTAAAACAAGTTATTACGACCAAAGGTAAACCAGAAAATGCAAAAATTAAAAGTTTAAATCAATTAAACTATGTTACAGCAAAAATAGGCCTATAATTATAATTATAGCTGTTAATATGCTGACGTTATTATTTATGTGAGTTATCATTGCTGCAGATTACGAAGTGTTTAGTGTAAACAACTTGACAATCAAATCAAAACTTTACGGGTTAAAGTGCATCATCACAAAGAAGATTAGTGCAGAGCAGCCTCATAAAACCACAAAAGTTTGTTATGATTTTATAGTCGCACATTGAACGCCTGGCAGGTTCAAAGAGTGAAATTGATAAAAACAACCAATTTAGAATTATGGATAATAAAAATTTGATTCTAAAGGGACCACCTTTAAAAGAACCACTTTACCAACGCTCAGTTGGAATCAGACTCTTCGAAAGTCTGCAATTTTACGCTGGGAGTGATAAAATTGCATTTGTAAGTTATTATATTAATAATATTATATATTTAATAAATAATTTATTATTATTTTTATGTTTCAGTTAGATGTAGCGACAAACACTAAAGTTTCCTATAAAGAATTGTTTGAAATAACAGTAAAAGTAGCCATAAACCTTAAAAAGTTAGGATTTTCCGGGAAAACCATCGGTGTTTGTAGTGAAAACCGAGCGGATTTCTTCATTCCGGTTATTGCTGCTTTATATATCGGTTGTCCAGTCACAACCATTAATCATGGATACACTGAGCGTAAGTTGGCACTATATTTATGTATAATAAGTTGCATACCTTATAAAACTTAAATATTTTTATAGGTGAATTATTATATGCTTGTGAACTGGTCAAACCATCATTTGTTTTCTGTTCTAAACGTACCTATGCTTCTTTTAAAAACCTAAGAGCCAAGCAGCCAATGAAATACTTGCAACAACTATGGATTTTGGAAAACCTCCAAAAGTTCTATGGACGTGTCAAGCACATTGAAAAGTTCACGCCGGTCGATGTAAATGTGAAGGAACATATTGCAGGGTTATTATTCTCTTCTGGTACCACAGGGCTTCCGAAAGCGGTTATGATTACTCATCAGAACTTAAGCTGTGTGCATGGGCAATTTTTGTAAGTAAATATTTCCTCGTAACTTTTTCAAAGTAATTATTTATTTTATGATTCCAGCGACAAAGACCATTTATTATCGGAGATTTGTAATTACTTGCTGTGTTTGCCGTTTTACCATGGCTATGGCTTCAATGTCGCTTTGGCATCTCTCCTCAAAGGCAACACGGTAAAATTCATCGAAAAATTCGACCCGGTTGTTTTCCTCAGCGCAATCGAAAAATACAAAGTTAATTATTTGACATTAGTGCCGCCATTGATGGTGTTCTTCGCCAAACATCCACTGGTGGAAAAATACGATTTATCATCGATAAAAATCATTGTTTGTGCCGCTGCGGCATGCTCAAAAGAATTAGAAAATGCTGTTTTGACACGACTCAACAATATTCCACTAATTTACCAAGGTTACGGCCTTACAGAATCAACATTGTCAATTATTTCCATACCGAATGGTACTCCACCGAAAGAAGGAACTGTAGGTACCGTAGATCCTGGAATTGAGATCAAAATACGCAATCCAGAAACTGATAAAACTCTGGGACCAAATGAAGTTGGAGAGATTTGTGCAAGAGGCGATACTATTATGAAAGGATACTACGGTAATCCAGTTGCGACCAGGGATACCATCACCCATGACCGATGGTTGTTAACTGGAGACCTTGGATATTACGATAAAGATGGTTACATTTACATCGTCGATAGACTCAAGGAATTAATCAAATTCAAAGGTTTTCAAGTTCCGCCAGCGGAATTAGAAGCGTTATTATTGACACATCCCAAAGTAATGGATGCTGCAGTCGTGGGACTACCAGATGACACCGCTGGTGAACTACCTTTGGCTTTCGTGGTGAAAAAACCCGGAGTTCAATTGAACGAACAGGAAATCAAAGATTTCATTAAAGGTAAACGCATATTACATTACTTTATGTTATTCTATCATTTTGATGTTTTAATTGAGTGTTTAATATTGTTCCATTGTTACAGAACAAGTATCGTACGCTAAGCAATTACACGGTGGAGTGCGATTTGTCGAGGCGATACCGAAAAGTGCCGCGGGAAAAATCCTGCGTAGGCAATTACGCGATATGCTAAAGAAATCCAAATTGTAATTGAAATATCATTATAGATCCAAGTTACTGAAACGCATAAAATCGAATATTGTTATGAATTTCTTTTGTTCAGCCGGGGAACACGATTGATTTTTGATGTGTTCGCAACGTAATTGAGTATTGTGTGCAAAATTGCAACCCGACCGATAAAATTGATTCCCAAACTATTATAGATAAATTGTCAACGCCTAAAAATAAAAACGTATAAATTCCAGAATCCCATGTTCGATACCTCAGTGCTCATGTAGTTTCTTCAAAAGAAACATCAAAATTTTTCAAGATAAACACGATGGCTATAAAATTCGCTCTGTTGTTTTTGTTATTAGTGTGTCAAAAATCTTCGGCTAATAATGGACATTGTGATGATGACGAGGATAGCGGCATTCAAGCAAAATTTGATATCACAGGTACACAAAGTGATCCGAATGCAGCAAGTCAACTGAAGGCCGCTGCTGCTAGTGATGCAACAGCAGCAAATCTACAACAAATTGCACAACCAGAAGAGCGAAAATCTGTTGATGCGAAAGAACCCGAAGTCGCACCAGTACCAAATCAAAATGGTTTAAATGCTACGCCGCCGCCGGAATTTTCAGTGAATATGGATTTACCAAATCCTATGGTAAATACACCGCAACGTCCACCACAAATAAATCAACGCAAACAAGTGGGAAATTACCAACAGAATAATTATGTTAGTTCTCCCTATTACAATCCGCATTGGACAGCGCGTAAACAGCAGCCATCTTATATGTGGAATAGTATTGGTTACGGACAACAGCAAACACCAAATATGAAAACGAGCAATGGATATGTCGTCGTAGTGAATAATGGACGTTTGCATTATTTCAGGTGTTGTAATTGTTACTAGTTACTCTGTATCTCTGAATAAAACACTTTTCGAGTAAAAATTATGTTACGCTTGATGTTAGGCAACCAAATATACAATCTAAGGTATTCTCTGTATGTACAAGTATTATTTTAAAATATATTTATCTTAAATTTTATTTAAGGACTGTATTATTAATCCCCTACTATAATAATATTGTTCATGCCATGGTAAATTATTACTTACACTGGTCTACTGACTTTACAAACTGATAATTACTTAATATAGTGATATAGTTCTGATATAATTGAACAATACACCGCTTGTATGACTTGTTTGGGTTATGCCGATTCATTTTTATCAAGTTTCATTTGCATCAACACAACCGTTGACCACCTTCATTCAAAAACCAATTTGCAAGCGAGCCTTGAAATTGAGTGTGTATTAAAACGATCAATTTATTTAAAATCAGTAGTGCGCGTGAAATTGGCTGAGATTGTGGGAAAATGCTGTGTTTATCAAAAGAGAAAACTTTGAAGATAGCGACAGCGATACAAGAAGATGACAAACGGTTTCAGCATTATCTGAAACTTTTAGAGGAATGGATAAGTTGCCATGGTTTCATTCCACAGAATTATGATAAACGAATGTTGGCGATTCTTCTACGTGGTTGTAAATATAATTTAGAGAGAAGTAAAAATAAATAGGAGTTGTATTTTGTTTATAAAAAACGTTATCCTGAAGTGTTTGGATTTCACTATTTTAATCAACAAGAAAGAAAAGCATTGGATAATATGTAAGTTTAAAAAAAATAAAAGTTTTTATTTGTTAATGTTTATAAAAATGATTTTTAGTTATTTATTTGAATCTAAACATGTTACAACGGAAGGATATCGTGTTGGTTGTGCTGGATTTCGTTCTTCGGAGACTACAGGATGTGACATGAGTGTTCTAACAAAGTTATTATCAATGTTCGGTAAATATTTAATGAAAATATGAATTTTGCACGATATATTCAAGAATTACTTATTTTTAGCAACATATAAAGCAAATTTAGATAATATCAACGCTGGTTTAACGCTGGTATCAAACTTAAGCAACTTAACACCTGCAATTGACTCAGACTGTTTATCCATTCCGGATTAAAGGAATTTATTTTATTTATGTGTCTTCATATGCAGTTCCCATTGCTAACATGGTTAAACTATTATTTAATGAAAAAAATCAGAAATAAAGTAAATTTTTCTGAAAATTTTGATTTTTTAAATAATTAACGCTTATTTTTAGATACATATTGAAGATAGTGATGAACAAATTGTTTACCGAAAGAATACGGTGGTACGGATGGTACAATTGCCGAAAATTCCAAACATTTCTTGGAAGGTTTACAATCAATTGAAGCTTGGTTTCTGGAACATGCAAAAGTTCAAATTGTTGGCAATATTCCCAAGGAATTATACACCACAAACGGAATTGATGAAGATTTAGGCATACAGGGAAGTTTTAGAAAATTAGACTGATTAGACATAGAAATATTTATAGTATTTAATTCTTAGATAATTAACTGTTACGTGTTTTAATTTACTTTTTATGTCTACTATTATTATAGTAATGGTGCAGATAAAAAAAATAATTCTATCTCATTGCGAAATAAATGAGTACTTTATTCAGCCCAATTAAATATTGTTTATAATAACACAATTTATTTACATGTGGACAATTTCGCGTTCGTTTTTTGCTCAATTTAAAATAATCATCCAATTATTCGTATCTCACTACACATTTATGTCGCTATTATGAGCATGCGAGTGACACAAACATATAAATTAAAGAGGAATATGATACATTTCTTTCGACCTTGATAACTATTTAAAGCAAGACTTTTGTGTTAGAAATATCGCAATTCTAAAGAGTCACGATGATTCCATCGACGTTTTGTGAGTTAACTCCGGAACAAGCAAAGAAAATCAAGAGAAATCTTAATGAAGATGAATATCGATTTGTTACACAAATTAAAAGTTTAAAAATGTGGATGGATAGACATCCATTTATACCTAAGCAATATGGTATTGTTTAATTAAATTATGATTAATTTATTTTTAATGATTTTGTTTATATGCTTGGGTTTATTTATAGAAGTGGAAATGTTAGAAATTTTTCTGCGAGCGTGTAAATATGATATGGAAGCAACAAAACAGAAACTAGAAAATTACTTTGTGAATAAAACAAAATGTCCGGAGAGTTTCAAAGTTTATAGTTTTGAAGAAATCGATTGGGAAACACTCAACAACTTGTAAGTATAATTATTGTTTAATATTTTAAAGTTTTGAAGTTAAATTGCACTTTTAGTTACTTTCTAGCCTCGAGAAAATTAACGCCTGAAGGTTATAAAGTTACTTTTGCTGGATTTCGTGAAGTGAATATTAATTCATGTAATATTGAGGTTATGTGTAAATTTATATGGATTTCCGGTATTAAAATAAACTATTTTGACTTTTAAGGATTTATAATTTAATTTTTAGCTATTTATAAAGCAAATTTAAGCACTTTAGACGCTGGGAATGTTCTGGTTATAAACATGAATGTTTTCTCACCAACAATGGTTGTACAATTAATGACGCCATTTTTGAAACAAACGGTGAAATTACTCCAAACAACTTTTCCATTTCGGACCAAACAAATATTTATTATCAACGCCCCGGGATATGCAGAAAATTTTATCAATGTTTGCAAAATGTTCCTGAACGATAAAATTAAAAACAGAGTAAGTTTTTATTCAACTAGCGCCATCTATTATAAAATAGTAATGATTTGAATTTTAAGGTTATAATTGAAGCTGGTGATGATAAAATGAAAGCATCAATACCCAATTATTGTATTCCATCAGACTTTGGAGGAACAGGCGATGCTATATCTGATCGAATTCAAGAATGGTTTAGTTTACTTAAACATTACGAGCCGTGGTTCAAACAACATGAAAAGTAATTCCCTTGATTGATAAAATACCAAAAGAATTGTTTGCTAGTTCTAGTATTGATGATGAAATGGGAACACAAGGATCTTTTCGACAACTATCAATAGATTAATCACAATTAATCACAATCACAAAATATTTAACACCAAATATAAAATTATTTTATTTAAATTTACAAATAGTTACAAATGTGATTGTGTTTTAATCAATTCTCTCAATTCTCTTCTTAAAATCTTTCCACTCACACTTTTGGGAATACTTTTAAGAAAACGCACACCACCTCTTAAAGATTTATACGCCGCAGCGTTGTCTTTGACAAATTTAATAATCTCCTGCTCAGTAACACCTTCACTTCTTGGAACAACAAAAGCTAAAGGTACTTCACCGGCAACATCATCCGGTTTACCTATAACCGCAGCATCCAATACTTTCGGATGCGTTACCAACAACGCTTCTAATTCTGCTGGTGCAATCTGAAAGGCTTTGTACTTGATCAACTCCTTCAATCGATCAACTATATAAATATATCCATCCTCATCGTAGTAACACATATCTCCTGAACGTAAAAATCCATCATCCGTAAATGTATTTTTAGTGGCTTCTGGGTTGCCTAAATAACCCTTCATCACTGTTTGTGCTTTGATACAAAACTCTCCAACTTGATGTGGGCCCATTAAAGCACCAGTATCCGGATCACGGACTATAATCTCAGTGCCTGGCATTGCAGTACCAACAGATCCATGTTTAGTGTCTAAATCTTTTGCATAAAACAATGTTGCAGCGAATGTTCCTTCGGTGAGACCATAACCTTGACGGATAATTGCATTCGGGAATATTTTGCGTATAGCTACTTCAGTTTCTGCACTCAAGGGGGCAGCACCGCATAGAATATTAACAACGGATGTGAGGTTATATTTTGAGGTTAAAGCTGATTTGGACAACATTATAAGCACTGGAGGTACAACTGGTAACATTGTTATTTTGTGCTTGTCTATAGCGGATAGAAATGAAGAGATTTCGAATTTGTGCATGAAATGCACACATTTTCCATGAAACAGATCTGATAGAATTATAGCAAATCCATAAGCGTGGAAAAATGGAAGAAATAATATTACAGAATCACCTGTTGTCGTTGATAAACGTGGATCCCTAAAATAATAAATTTAAACATAAAATATAATAAAATTTAACTAAAACTTACTGTGCCTGATTAATTCGTGCGTTATAATTTTGATGCGTCAACATCACAGCTTTAAACAAACCGGAAGTCCCAGAAGAAAACAAAATCACAGCAGTTTGGTCATAAACATTGCAATGTTTCGGAATGAATCGCAATGGATCAATATTAATACTCTTTACAAGTTCATAAACATCGTCAAGGATGATAACTCTAATATAGTTTCTTATTCTGTGAAATTTTGCATAATTTGCTTTTGAGCAAAATATTAGTTTTGGTTTTGAAAGGTTTATAGCATGTTGAAGTTCTCCTAGAAATGTCAACACAACTAATTTTGTATCTGATATTCAAAATTTAAAATAATTACTTTCGCTGTATGCTGGATTTGCATTTGCAACGATAATACACGAATACATTGCAGCAATAACCGGCACGAAATATTCCATTACATTTTCACAACACATTAAAATCACATCGTTTTGTGTTAAACCTTGTCGACGCATCCATTCGCCAAGTTTACAGGTCATAACAAATAAATTACGAAATGATAACGTTTCATTGGAAACAACGTTAATCTAAAATTCGTTTATTTTGATTTTTTTGTGTTTTGAGATTAAATCATTTATTTTTTACCATTGCTGGTGATTCAGTGTGATAGTTCGCTTTTAATCTTTGATAAAGTTGAACTCCTAATGCTTCCTGAGATATCGCATGATGCAGCGGTAATCCAGTTATCACTTTTGCTTTTACGGTCGCCATTTTGCTTTTATTTTTGGTTTTGAATGTGTAAACACAGTTAGTGGTATTGATTGTATGTTTACAGGTTCACAATATTTTGATAACTGGCCTAGTTTAACATTTAGTCTGGTTTAAATGTGTTTGCGATTAATTACATCATAATCATAAAGTTCTGTCGTTGTACTATCGACCCACATAATCGTAAACATTTTGAACTTCAACCGTAACCATAAACAAACTTTATGAAGTCGTGCAGTGATAAATTACTCTCATTTGAATATACGAGTTGCTATAAAAAGAAATTTGGTGGTTTTGCAATCAAATTTTTGATTTTGAGGTTATAACACTTTATAAAATAGGTATAGAAATACTATTATTTAATAAACAAATAAATCTATATAATATAATATCAAACAATATATTAAAAGCCAGGAACAAAGATTTTAAACAAAAAGTAAGGAAAAACTGCAAATCGAGCACTTTTAGAAACACTTAGGGAATTTTATTACAAATTAACATTGGAATAATCATAAAAAGCATAATCCGGTGCCAAATTCATTTTTATTTCTGATTAATCAAACACTATATATAGTTATAAATACATATTATCCTTTTGTAATCAATTCTCGCAATTCTTTCCTCAAAATCTTCCCACTTACACTTTTCGGTATAACATTAAGAAAACGAACACCACCTCTTATAGCTTTATACGAAGCCGCATTCTGACTAACAAAATCCATAATCTCCTGTTCTGTAACTTCACCTTTCGCTACAACAAACGCCAAAGGTACTTCTCCGGCAAATTCATCCGGTTTACCAATAACAGCAGCATCCAATATCTTCGGATGCGTCACCAACAACGCTTCTAATTCAGCAGGTGCGATTTGAAATGATTTATACTTGATCAACTCTTTCAATCGATCAACTATATAAAAATATAGATCATCATCATAGTAACACATATCTCCTGTACGTAAGAAGCCATCTTCTGTAAATGCATTTTTGGTTGCATCCGGATTGCCTAGATAACCCTTCATTACAATATCTGCTTTAAGACATAATTCTCCAACTTGATTTGGTCCCAATAATGCGCCTGTTTCTGGATCACGAATGATGACCTGTGATCCAGGGATCACTGTACCGCATGATCCATGTTTTTTGCCTAGATCTTTAACGTAAAACAAAGTTGCAGCGAATGTTGTTTCAGTGAGACCGTAACCTTGACGGATATTTGCGTTTTTGAATACTTTTAATATCGCAGCTTCAGTTTCAGCGCTCAATGGTGCAGCTCCGCAGATGATAGTGTGCACTGAAGTGAGGTTATATTTTGAGGCTAATGGTGTTTTAGACAGTATTATGACTACAGGTGGCACCACTGGCAGCGTGGATATCTTATGCTTTTCAATAGCTGCTAATAATGAAGCAACTTCGAATTTATGCATGAAATGTAGACAGTTTCCTAGAAAATGATTAGCCATCACTTGTGCGAATCCATAAACATGGAAAAATGGCAGGAAGAGAATTACTGAACTGCCTGTAGTTGCAGATAAACGTGGATTTCTAAAAATAACATTTATTCATTTATTCAAAAAAATTATTGTTATTATTGTTTTAAAACTTACTCTGATTGATTAAACAATGCATTATAATTTCGATGCGTCAACATAACGGCTTTAAACAAACCGGAAGTTCCAGAAGAAAACAAAATCACCGCGGTTTGATCATAAACATTGCAACTTTTTGGAACAAACGTCAACGGATCAATGTTAATCGTCTCAATAAGTTTGTAGATATCTTCAATAACAATCACTTTGATATTATTTTTGATGTTTACAAATTTGTCATAATTTGCTTTCACACAAATGATAAGTTTAGGCTTTGCTAAATCAATTGCATGTTGAATTTCCCCTAAAAATCAAAATTGATTTATTTATCAAATATAATAAATAATTTCTTATTACTTTCTGTATAAATTGGATTTCCATTTGCAACCACAATGCAAGAATACATTGCGGCAATCACCGGAATAAAATATTCTAAAACATTTCCGCAACACATCAAGATAACATCGTTTTCTACTAAACCTTGTCTTCGCAACCATTCCGCAAATTTACAAGTCATGACAAACATGTCTCTGAATGATAGTGATTCATTTGTAACTACATTGATCTAAAAATATTCAATTATTTTAATTAAATTTAAAGAGAAATTATTTATTTATTACCATGGCTGGTGAGTCGTTTCTTTTCAACAGGCGTTGATAAAATTGAACTCCCAGAGACTCTTCAGATATAGGATTATCTAATGGTAATCCTCTTACGATTTTTGATTTATCCGAAACTGGCACCATTTTTGATTTATTTTGAATTTGCTGTCTTGAAGTAAAGAGTTGAAAACACTGCTTCTAGTGTCTTTTATAACTGATTTTGTTTACAGACTTGTACTATAATATTAATAGCTATTCAAAAAGTTGCTGCCATTATACTATAGACCAATATCAAAATATAATCATTTCTAAATTGGAAACATTCAAATTTTATTTGGTAGACGAAACAAGTTCATTAAGGTGGAGAGTAGAATTTATTTTATATTAATTATCACATAAAACGTTATTAGGAGTATTAAAATATGAAAAAACTGCAAAATTACGTAAAATAAAAAATAGGCAACACAAATTGCGATTTCTCAGTTATGTTTATGTTACTAGGAAAGCTTACGGTCAAAAAAATGGTAATTTGTAACATATGTTCAAATAATTCACGGAGAATCAAAGCTTTACACAAAAATTGAATTTGTTGCGCGCGTAGATTGTGCAGCAGCAACCGGCAACCGAAGCAACAAGTTCGTAATGAAGTTATGACGCTGATAATGCCTTAACATCAAACCGCGATAAGTGCACGCTTGAGTTGTTCTTCCGCGTTGTCTTAATTAAATATAGAATAGGCGCGCGCGTTGGTCACGTTCTGCACTGCTGTAAATTTATCGCCGGCGCATTAATTCACTAAGCGGATAGTTGTGTCACAGATAAACGCATGCGAGGCGCTCAGCGCCGAGACGGATGGGCTTGATTAACAATTCTTCTGAATAATACAGCTATTTATTTAAAAACTAAGTAAGTCGTAAAATTGCATGCAAATTCCATTCTTACATTTGTAAGATGTTCGTATGTGAACGAACGCATTTATATCGTGCTGGGTAAGCATAATTGAAATTCTAATTATGTGTAAATCCTCGAGTGTACGCAGAAATTGAGGAGTGAAACGTTGTAATGGAAATTATTGTTATTCAAAAAGCTAAAGATGCTATTTGTCACAATGCGAAATTATCGATTGTAATTTTAGATAATTAAATGTACAACGAGTATAAGTAAGCTAAAGAATTTGCAAGTTTATCTGATAAGTAGTATAGGCTTACAATGATTGATTTATTTAAATAATAAAACCAAAAGATGCGCCCAACGTGGGGCTCGAACCCACGACCCTGAGATTAAGAGTCTCATGCTCTACCGACTGAGCTAGCCGGGCAGATATTAGAAGTGCGCTAAAACAAGGATAAGAAATGCCTTTAGTTAACATAACCACTAAAATTATTAATAACTTGCACTTTTAAATACCTATTCATATTTTAAACTCAAATTACATAACATTCATTTCATTTTCATTGAATATCAGTGATTATATGCTATGTTATTTCCAGAGTTAAAGAAAGACACGTCAATAGGTCCTGTGGCGCAACGGATAACGCGTCTGACTACGGATCAGAAGATTCCAGGTTCGAATCCTGGCAGGATCGCTTTTTTCTTCTTATTCATACCGAAAATTTTCTTAAAATATCTTAAAATCGGAAACCAAAACGTATTTTACACTTTCTAGGTATTATAATAATTACTAGTTGCACAAAGTGCCAAATTCCACCAAGAAAGATGATTGATTATTCGAATAACATTTATAACAATGTTCAACAAACGTGCAACTCGTGACCTAATGACTACAAGTAGTACAAAACAATGCATAACAACAACACCCAGCAATTAATATTCAATGAAATAGCAAGTTATTAGAGAGTAAATGTTAATGCACAAAAGATGAAGTTTCAATTAGCAATTATCGTTAATAATAATTGAAATTCAAATAAAAAAATGCAAATATAGATAATATTACGTTGTGTGGTAGGTAAGTAGGTACAATATTCGTGATAACATCTGCGAGGTTAAGATCAAGGTAGCAAATGTGCATCATAAATAAATGTAATCTAATACTGGCCGCAACATTGCGAACGCTTCATAATTCATGCAAGCAGATGCGTTAATTCTAGTTAATTAAAGGATAAGCGCGTACTGTCCGAGCACGTGTCTAATTGTAGCAGTCAAACAACTCGGATGCTCATTTTTAATATGCGGCTAGATCAAATTCGCTCCCTGCGTGCGTTTTAATTCAGTTTTTGCCCGGTTTCAGTTTCTACGCTTTTCTATCATCGCGCGATTTACGAGAAACGCATTCCACACAAGTCGCGCGGCAACGGGATTAATTATCAGCAATAAACGCAAATTAATAGCCTATCGATTTGCGCTGCCGCAAACACTAATTCAATTAGTTTTTTCCACCTCGGCAGCAACTCGCGGCGGTCGTTTATTCTCCCGCCGTCGTAATTTACTTAGCGATGCCGCAAAAATGTGCGTCGCACTGTGAGCATCTGCGCGTCTGTGTGTGTGTATGTTGGGTTGCCGTGTGTGTTTGTGCCCAACTTATAGCCTTCCCTATAAATTTCAAACATCAATATTAATACGCGATGGCGACCGCTCGCGCCGCAAACAAATGATTTGCGGCGTGATGCGCTGCGTTACAGCGTCCGCAATGAATTATGAAATTAATATCGGCGAGTCGAGTGTTTATGCCTTCCGTTTCTGTTCAATGATTTTAGCGGCCAGGGATTACAAGATTCTCTAAGTGATTACATTCGCAACGATTTCGATCTTCAAGTGAGATTTGTGTTGTTCAATTTGCTGTAAATTAATAAATTATTACGTAATAAATAAGAAACAAGTAAATTCTGTTACTCAACTGTGTTTCACTCTTGTTCAAGCCTCAAGAAATAACAACTTATAATAAAACCTGTCAAATCCGTCAATAAAATCTTCAATTTTAATGTAAAGACATGAAAAATGCAAATAGTGCATTGCAGTGCCATCTGGGGGAGAAATATGCAACTAAAACTATGATTGAATCTTAATGCAACTTTTAACGCAAATTTTACACCTTGAAAGTTATATTTATGTAACAAAAAGTAGTCAATTAGTTTCTCTAAGGTTCAAAATACCTCCCTACCAAAATTTATCAAAATTGGTTGAATGGTTTCTCAGTAAAAGCGTCGCAAACATAAAAATTAAATTTGTATTTATAACATGGTGATAATATTGCGTTCTGCAACAATAAAACAAGTTTTTACTCATTTCACTTACAAGAACTCACTGTGAATATCACCGTAACAACATTATATCTCTTTACGTCTGTACACATTCACTGTGTGATTGTGACACTTTGATTACCTGATATGATACAACCTGCAAGACTTAGCGCGTCTACGTTCCGTCTAATGGCACTTGTACGACATCCTTATTGCCACCGCCCCGGGCTTTATATCCTTTATGCCTGGTTTCATTACACTACATTTACCCGCCACCATTTATCAACAATCGCCGGTGCGCGTTGCGCGTTAAAAGAACCTCGCGCGCTTAACGACGATGCCCGCCATTGACATTAAAGTCCAAGAAATAAGAACGATGATAAAACAACCGCAACGTCCGTTAGATCACCGGCGTTTATATAAGATTTCGGTGTGCGCAACGTAATCGTAAAGTTGAATTAATACTTAGTTGATAATAATCTCTCAAAATGCCAGATTACTGGTTTTTGAGTGAAAATTTAAGAACATAATTCGATAAGCAGTTTTTTGCGTGTCATAAGTGTGCGACATGAAATCTTTCTGAAAAAAATACATGGCAGTTAATTATATCTGCTGGCGTGCACGTAGATACGCGTCCAAACCAAAAATAACCAATCGATAATAAAGAGCATGTTCCAGCAAGTTCGAAGACCCCTTTCGTGCTATTTCTAATTTTCACCAAACGACAAGTTACAACGCGCTGCGAGTTATTTTGATCAAATCTCCGCCGGCTTACAAACGTATTAGGCTTTCTTGTAGAGATTTACACCTACGCGACGACCTACCCCTAAGTGTCTGACTTGAAACTGCCACCGCTCCCGCGCGCCAAGGGAGCAAACATGCGCCGTCGCTTTTTCGCGTCTCCGATGATTTTCCCTCATGGAAAATGGGTTAGTAGTAGCTTAGCGACGCTCCTGTAGCGAGGCGTCGCGGCGTCGCGTCTCTTTCGGCACACACGACCAACGATTCGCCGCCAATATTATCCTCAATCATCTAAACATCGATACATCACAGAAACAATTTGTGCTACGAAGAAAATTGCATTTTGGGCGTGCGTGCGAACAAGAATTGCCGATCATGTGTGGTGAATCGAAGCAGGGCGCATAATTCGATCACATGAGCACCTGTTTCGTAATACCATGTGAGACAAGAAGATACGTGGTGCGAATAATAAAAGTGAGCGAGTGTAGGTGAACGTTTTGTGTGAAAATTTGCGAGAAAAGCGATCAGATTGAAACATGTCTTTGGTACGCTGTTGCTTTGAGTCGGCCGACTTCTCGGAGGTGGTCGAGACGGTGATGCAGAAATGCACGGACGCTGGATGTAAGTGCACTCTCATTTTAAATCAGTCAGTTTTTTCAGTGAAGATATTTGCACATATTTCAAAATTTGCGCTATTTATTGATTACATGTGAATGTGTTGTTTAGTGCTAATCATTGCCATAGAGGCCGCCACCTTACGGTAGTGCATTTACTTGGCACTGCGTTTGAAATCTTCAAATGTAGTTCGCTAAACCGATGTCACGCACTACACGGGCACCGCTTGGAGCGCTGTCGCCGACTTCATATAATTTACACAAACGATTTTTGTGGCAGAAATACGTACTACACCGGTCCACTAAAACAGCTTGTCATTTCACTGAGTTAAAAATAACTTGAGTTTCTCTCACGTGTATTACATGCCTGATGATTTTATTTCTCTGTCTTTCATACACAATAAAACATCTGACTCTGACACACGTCTGACACTGTAGTGTCATCGATGAAGTAATCATTATGATGGTGATCATGACTCTTGCCCTGTGTTCATTTATGTAGACTTATTTAGTGTATAAAGAAATCATGTGTATATAAAGAATCGCCATTCCATAAAAGGTGTACTTACACAGTTAGAATGTTTGGTAAGCTCAAATTTAACACAATGCACTAAAGTAGATCAAATTTCAATTTGCATAAATAATTAGTTCAATTCAATGGAATCAAATGATTATTTTCTGTGCAGGTTGTTGTGGTTGCTGCAATGCCTTACGGCCAAGGTATAAACGGCTCGTGGATAATATCTTCCCAGTTCTGCCTCAAGATGGGTTGGTTAAATCAAACATGGAAAAGTTGACATTTTATTCCTTAAGTTCTCCTGAGAAATTGGATAGAATTGGGGAGTATTTATATCAGAAAGCTGCAAGGGATATATACCGCAGACGTTATGGGTATGAATATCAAACAATTAGTGTTTTTAGAGCATTTTTTTGAGAATTTTGTTTATAGATTTGTTATTATTGCAATGGAGGCAATGGATTTGCTGCTGTTGTCATGCCATGCACCACAATTAAACTTATTTGTTGAGAGCTTCCTTAAAATGGTGCAGAAACTGTTGGAATCGACTGAGCCAGAGTTACAGATATTAGCTACACAATCAGTAAGTGTATAAAATTACACTCAATATTTGCAATAATTAATTTTTTGCTTTAGTTTGTAAAATTCGCAAACATAGAGGAAGACACGCCATCCTATCATCGTAGATATGACTTCTTTGTCAGTAAATTCTCCGCAATGTGCCACAATAATGACGCGGACTTGCCTACACGGGATAAAATCCGCACCGCGGGAATCAAAGGTTTGCAAGCCGTTGTACGGAAGACCGTATCGGATGATTTAGTTGAGAATATTTGGGAGTCGGTGCATATGGATAAGATAGTTCCTAGTCTGCTATACAATATGCAAAATTCGCGTTTCCACGTCGATGAAACCGGCGTGGAGTCGGCGCCTGATGATCAAGTGGATCCGCCGATGTTGGCGGAGACCTGCATGCGTGAATTGATAGGCAGGGCTTCATTTGGGCACATTCGAGCTGTATTACGACCAGTATTAAGGTAATTATTGCTATGTTGTTAAAAATAGCGCATATTTCAAGGTCATTTTCTTAATTAAATTGTAATAACTGTGTTTATTCTGTTTTTTAGGCATTTCGACTTACACGATTTATGGGTTCCAAACGAATTTGCCATTCATACATTTAGAATCATTATATTTTCAATTCAAGCACAATATTCATACACCGTCGTAGAAATGATGATGTCGCACCTGGACGAGAACTCAAAAGAAAAGCCGAAAATTCGAACAAGCATCGTGGATGTCCTTTCGAAAATCATTGCCATTGCAGCTGGAGAAAGCGTGGGCCCTTCTGTGCTTGAAATCATCAACTCATTACTCTCTCACTTGAAAGATTCAGTAAGACACGGCACAAGTCAAAACGAAGAGAAACAATACCAAGATGCATTGATAAATGCCCTGGGAGAGTTTGCAAATCATCTTCCTGACTATCAAAAGATTGAAATAATGATGTTCATTATGAGTAAAATTCCTTATCCACTAGTGGATAGCCATACGCTTGCGGACAACATGTTGCAGAGTATCCTATTGAAGAGTTTACTCAAGGTCGGTACCAAGTATCAAACGATTCATTTGAATACCACGTTCCCGATTTCCTTTCTGGAGCCTCTATTGAGAATGTCGCTTGCGCCTGATCCGGACATGCGTGTATTGGTGCAGAAGATTTTGCACACGCTCATCGATCGTCATCACAACCTCGAGAAACTCACGAAGGCGACGTGAGTGCAATTGTTTTTAATTAATTATCAATTATAATGAATTAATCATGTAGATTAATTATACTTAATTGTAATAGGGTCAACGTGGACGAGTTGGAGTTGACTTTGGAGAAATCCTCACGACCGGATTTGATTTTCATCAATAAACACGGTCCGATCATCTACGACGCGTTGTATACTAGTTTGCAGATCGATTCGAATACTGCCGATAATATTCAAGCGGTTTACACGACTCTAGCACTTTTGTGCGTGGAGCTAGCTAGCGAAGAAACTGTCATTGAACTATTACAATTATTGGTCGGGTAAGTTACATCAGAAACTACTACTACTGGAAACATTGTTAATATATTGCTTATTTTGGCACAGAATTCAAAGTCTGGCGTTAAGTAATCAAAACTTCAGCCAAGCGCAACGGTACAACCTGCACGCGATTGTTATCAGCCTGCTGGTATTGATTCCGAGTGTGGTTGCGATACCGCAACTCTTGGAGTACGCCAACAAGCTGGTGCGAGCGCGAAGAAAAGAAGCACCGTATATTCTACCTGATTTGCGCGATACTTATATTACTGGTGCTATGGTTAATAAATTTCCTCATTTATTAGTTGACCAGGTATGAGTTATGTTTTTGTTTCAAATTGTGAAATTATAGAGTATGGTTTTTACAGATGGCTGTGTGTGAATATGTAGCTGCGAGTGGTCTAGACGTGACGAGACTGCAATCGACATCGCCGTATGGTTCTGGCGGGCCCGGAATTGTTGCTAGTGCCCAACGACATAGTTGGGTGGAAACTGGCGCAAGGGGGAGTGTGGCTGAAATTGTTTCCAATACCGAAGTGAACAGCGCGTCAAGTTCTCCTGGCTTACAAAGGGTGAGAATTGTTTTGATCTATGTTTCGATTTAAATTCTTATAACATTCCTATCCCAGAAATACCGAAATACAATTCCGCTTTTCCTTGAACGTCACCGAAGTTGGGATGGTATATTGCAATTCCTTCACTCGTCCGAAAATTCCCAATTATCCTTTTTAAATACCAAATCATTGAATTTTGACGCTCGTGTATCATTTAAAGTAAGTTTTAAGAATTATTTTGTTTATCCACTGTATTTTCTCGAATATTTATTATTCTATTTGTTTATATATGAAATAGAAAATGCCGGAAGAAGAGTTGACCTTCGAAAGTATGAAACATGTTTTGAGCGAACCGCCAGAAGTTCGAAAAGAAGCAGAAAATGAAAAACGTGAACAGATCAGCAATACATTCAGAACGGCGACGTTTACTGAATTAACTAAGCGCACACAACCCAAGGTACAATCAAATTCAAACTAATTTCACTAATATACTAGTATACTAATGTGATGAATTATTACAGCATGATGTGCTCCACAACAAGTTAAACGAAATATTCAAGTCAATTTCCAGCTCAGAGGAAAACGGCCCAATCAAAACTGAAGATACTAAAACAGTACCGGTGTACGAGCAAAACTTTCCCGAATTGTTTATTCATTAAAAATGTTGCAAGCCATTTCTAGATTATGTTTAGGTAGCATTTTGACTTACAATTACGAAGCGTTATTATTTTTGATACACGAAATATTTGGATAGCTTTTTATCCGGTTAGCGTACAATCATACAAACATGATAGGTGATTGATTTGATATTTTTTTGTTTATGATTATGCACATTGCGCACTCTTATGAGTATTTATGTTTTTCTAATATTTATATTATTTTTTATTGACTAAAGAAATCCAGAAATGGGACAATAATTCATACTTACATCCACATGAAACAAAGTTTCTGGTATGATAAATGTTATTATTATAAATGAAAACTGCACACAATAATTAACATGTACTATACACTGTGTTCGAACGCATTAATCGAAGGTCATTTTCAGAATCATCGAAAGGGATTACTCAAACTACATTTTGCTGTTACATATATATAATAACATATTGTACAAATGATTGCTCAATCATTTGTATTCTCATTGCGTGTAAATGATACCCGTTCGAGATTCGACATTGATGTTGGTATATACTTTATGTAGAAAAGTCTATCCTTGTTAATACCTGTAAATTTTATCGTATACATGAGCGACGAGCGTTCGGTGATAAAGGTGATTCAAATGATTCAAATAATTAAATGTAAATAACCGTTGACATGTACAAATCGGACATAAACGAGAAAATAATAACTAGATTTGTTTTTTCTGCTCATATTCACTTGAATCCAAGTGACATTTGTAATATTTTGTTTTTTTACAGCAAATTGTCATAACTCGTCACTTTCATCAATCATTTGTGAAAGATGGTGAGTGAAAATCAGTATTTACTCAATAATTATTGAATAATTTAATAATTTGTTTAATAGGCAAATGAAATTGAAGAAACTTTAAAGCGTTTGCAGTCGCATGAAGGCGTAGAAGGTATAATCGTCATAAATAGCGAAGGAATCGCTATCAAAAGCACAATGGACAATACAGTTACCGTCCAGTACGCTGGACTCATTGGTTCATTAGCCGAAAAATCCCGCAGCGTGGTACGCGACTTAGATCCAAGCAACGATCTTGTTTTCATTCGCGTTCGATCAAGAAAACACGAAATCATGGTAGCACCCGATCGAGAGTACATATTAATGGTAATACAGAAGCCTGTTAATTAACAGAAGGTGTTTTGCAAAAAGAAAACGTCCATTTGTTAATTAACAGGCCACAATTCAAAAAAATCGGATTGTTATAAACCGTTTGATCTTAGATAAATGATTGTAATTGTACTTTATTGTATATAAACTGTATAAATAATTGTGTATATTTAATACGTTGAGATTTCTCGTAATTATCCACCGGAGTATTTTTCGTTTATATAGGCACATTAGTATCAGTACAATTTTCAGAAAACAGTTCAATAAAACTAACACCAAAAATTAATATTCGCAATAGCTATTTACAAATTCGAGTTGTAAATGTAAATTGTTTGTTCGAAAAATTGATCGACAATCCAAAAATATACTTCACAAGCCACTATCATGTCTATAAACACGATTTAAAACTCTTCTTCTAAATTATTTAAGTATATTAAGTACACAATTTTGTGCGTTCGCGTTGCTTCGACTTGTTCCAACGAAAAATAAATGACTAGTTAACGCACCTAATATTTAAACTATTAAAAACACTAGCGAATAGATATTAATGTGATCTTAATTGGCTAATAAAAGTTAACTAACGTGAGATTTTATCAGAATCACAAGAAAAGTATCAGCGTATGGAGTAAATCAGTAATGTCATAAATAATTAGTCTATATAAAATCATATGTTGCTCAAAAATTGCTCTAGCAGAAAATAAATAAAGAGAAACTAATCAGAACCAGTCACGCACTAAATAAAACCTACTCGCAAGTTATTTATGTGGTTAACGCGTGCTGTGCAGCACGTGTGAGCCGGCTGACGTAGCCAGTGCTCGGATGGAAGATCTTGTAATAAATAATCATGAAAAGTATGCCAACAAAAAACGAGATGAAGTTAATATAGACGATTGGGAGGTAGTAAAGCGTCTCCTTCACGGTGTCGTCTGCTTTGACGATCCACACGATCATGCAGATGATATTCTCCACGCATAATGTAAGATAAAAAAAGACGTACTTCCAAAATGTACGCCCGTCGCTAAGGCTCACATGCGTGAAGATGTACACCGTGCCGAAGATTGTATAAAAGAGGAAGTCGTAGATTCGGTTGTTGTTGCAGAAGTTTAGGTCGTGGGTGGAGTAGAGCAGCCAGATGACCATGAACATCCAGTGGATAAACAAGGCAAGGACGGTGTATTCAGGGTAGATGGAAGCAACAACGCTTATGCACATTATTCGCGAAACTGAAACGAATTGATGAATTTTCATGCATTTTTTTGTTGAATATTTTACTTACCTGTAACTAAAAAGTGCCACATGAATTGCATGATAGTACCAGCCCATGTAATGTTATTCTTATTTGTTAAAGACACTCTTAGTAATCTTTGGTAGGAAGCCATAGACCATGCCATACTCACAAAACTGCTGCCAATCGAAAGTAACTGATGTATAACTAAAAATTGCATCAATTTATATAAACATTCATGATAGAAAATAAAATAAGAATACTTACAAGTAAAAGTATTACTAATACCCTGTCCATGAGTATGAAATATAATTGACAATTGTAAAATTTGTTGTGGAGCTGCTTCAAGAAAACACTCCAATACTCTGAGTAAAGCCACATCTGAGTCTTCTTGCACCATAAGCTTATAGTACTTTCTCTGATCTTCAATGTTTTTGTTCTTTTGTGCTTTTCTAGACTTGAGTGCATATTGTAAAGCATCAAAGTACCTCAAGACTGGAGCCAGTTGAAAAACTAATATGAGTAAACAGCAGAATCCTCGCTTCGATAATCTATTAGTTAAACTTCTGTTTGCCTTCCCTTGGTCTAAGTAGTACCTAAAAATAATTTTTTATAGCGGATATATCAAGGACATATTTTTTTAACTTACATTCGTATACTGAAAGCAGTATTGACTATTGCTGGTATGAGAATAAAACCTAAAGTTGTGCAGAAGTAAGGAATTTCATTGTTGTGATAGTATCTGTAGGCCAAGTTCAAGTCGAAGACCAGATCAACGAGATGACTAACGATTGAGATGACGAAACCAGCTATATCCAAATCAGTGACCCTGTCTCTGGATGGCAATCGATCTACCTGATCAATTGCTTCTGGTTCACACATCTTGCTCTGGTAGATGACAGTCATTTCATTGTCTGGTGTTTATTGCGGCGCTAATCTACGATTAACTAACTTAAAGTAAACTAAATATAGATGAGATCACATGTAGAATTCGAACTAAAACAATTCGCGATACTCATAATTGACAAATTGTGAGTAAAGCAACCAAGGCGATCAAGGCAGACCAAGGCGACGCAAAGCGACTTAAGTGACATAGACGTGAGAAGGTTATTCAAACGCAGTGTCAAAGCATGTATAACTGGTTGCCTATAGTTATTTCAAATCAACAAATTTGAAATTTTAAACCAAACTTCAGAATTTTAATCAACAAGTTCCATACAATAAAAGCAAATACAGTTTCAATTGTCTGCCACGTCAAATATTATTCTACTTGGACTTTCATGTCAAAAAAGAGAAAGCGACAAATTCTGTTTTTAAACAGATAATTTAAATGAATGGTGTGAATGCAGTGATAATGTAAATAAACTTGGTATGCATGCTACTGAATATGGTTGGTATTGTTGATAATAGAAAAAAAGAAGGAAAGGTCCGATAATGTAAGCAAACGCAAATAACCGCCAGTTAAATAGTGTTACTGAAAGTTTGCAGTGCTTTTGAGGGCGGAAAAACGTGGACACAAATGTAAACAATGATTGGTATTATGAAATAATAATTATTAAATGGATTAGAGTGTAAGTATTAAACAATTCTCTGCATATCACATAACAAGTCAAGTGCGCATGAAAAATAAACTCTAATCGTTATCAATACACTCAACATGAATTGGATGGCTACGAACAAAGCGTGTTGATGTGCGGTAATTTATTATCTGGCAATTACAATCAGTTGAAAAGCGACACTTCAGTGGTCAACATGTCCGCGTGGGTGCAATTGTTATATTGTGTTAGTTTAGTTTTAGGTTCAAGTTTAGCCGAGATTACAGCTAGAAATGAGCGTCCAATCATCGGAATTTTGGCGCAGGAATCCTATTCAATCAACAAGTTCTTTCCAAATGAAGATGTGCACAGTTTTATTGCTGCATCTTACGTGAAATTCGTGGAAAGTTCCGGCGGGCGTGTTCTACCCATTATGTACGTCTGTATAAACAAATTAACAATCATTTAATAATAATACTAATAATAACTATGTAATTACTTTATAATTCAGCTAAATTTGTCCAATTTTTTAATCTAATTATCTATGATTATCTTTTTTAGGATTGGACATGATAAAGACTATTATTATAACATAATAAACAAAACAAACGGCTTGTTACTCCCCGGTGGTGGAGTATGGTTCAACGAAACAAAGGGTTATGCTGAAGCAGGGCAACACCTCTACGATGCAGCACTTGCCCTTAACAAAGCCGGTGATTTTTATCCCATTTGGGGTACATGCTTAGGAATGGAATTAATTCCATATGTAGCCTTGAACGGCGAAGAATTACGCGCACATTGCTACAGCAAAAAGATATCCCTGCCTCTCGACTTTAAACCAGATTACAAGTCAAGTCGTTTATTTTCTACGGCTCCGAAAGAAATAATCAACATTCTCAAAACTGAAAACGTTACAGTAAATAGCCATGGCTTTTGCTTTACAGAAGCAAATTTCACGAGATACAACTTAACAGATGAATGGAAAGTACTCTCTACTAATGTGGATCGTGATGGTTTAGAATTTATCAGTTCATATGAACATAAGAGCTTGCCGTTTTACGGAGTTCAGTTTCATCCTGAGAAGAATCTGTTTGAGTTTGAAAGAGCACCGACTACATTACACACAAGCAACGCCATCAAAACGTCGAGTTATTTCGCGGATTTCTTTGTTGATGAATGCAGAAAAAACGGACATAACTTTGAAAAAGAATTGGCAAAAGATTTAATTTATAAATACGCACCGAGATATATTGGAATTTTAGGCAGTATCTATGAACAAGTTTACATATTTAGCAGTAAAGATTGATTAACTGATTGTATTATAACCTTAAACAAAATAAAAACTTCTCTCTACAAGATATTTACTTTAATAATTAGTTATTTATTGATAAAACAAAAATAAGAATATTTTTACTCTATTCTAGTCTGTATTATAAGGCTATTAATATAAATAACATTTTCTGCTTGTTGATCCATATCTTATCCCCAACAAATGTTAAATACAAGGTTTAATTCCTGTTTGTGTTATTGTTGTCCTCATATTCATGTCAAACAAGTGTTAATTTCACGTATTTATTTCTACATTAAAAAGTGTAAGCCATAAAACACTTTTCATAATTGCAATTGCTTGTGATGTGAATTGGACAAGTATTTACCGTCAATAACATTAAATAATATCAAATTAAGTGTTTAAAATATCTATATTTATTTGTGACATCGTTTGACGATTTGTAAAATGATGATTGAATACAAAATTGCGCAGTATTCCAGTTACTTCACTATTGGATACATTGTGTTGGGTTTTGATATTGGTACTTCTATAAATCAGCGTGGAAATAACAATTCACAACAGTAAAATGCGACAATGTCACCTTTTGTGCTGTCTACGCTCACTGTGATTGCCCTGAAGTATTTCAGCAATCATACGTGTTTATATCACTTCGGAAATGATGATATCAATATACAATCGACGTCAATTGTAAAATTAACGAAACCATTTAATAATATAACGATTAAAATCATGGATAGAATAAAATGTGAGGGGTTTTAATTACTGGGGAAGATGTGGTTAAAGTTGTCAATATGATTGAACATAATTTGCGATATTCGAAAGTGTTTAGGTTTAATAAACGTGAATATTTATTAGTTGAAGATGGAGATGTTAATGTTGATGAGTATTTTAATGCAAATGTGTTTCGTAGTCTTGTTAATGTTTTGTTAGTTATTACAAACAATGATTGCTTGGAGTTTTTCACACATCAATACACAGGAAATTCATCTCAGAATTTAGTCAATCTTGGTAAAGCTTGTAATGGTACAGATGTTAATAAATTGGAGTTGTACACAAAAAATTTCATAATTTATTGGGTCGTGAACTAAGAATTACATCATTTACTTATTTACCTTATGTTAATTTAGGTAAAATTATAAATAAATAATAAAATAATAAATAATTATCCCATTTTTTGTTGTAGATAAAGATAGTGGCGCAGAATGGTCGATGGTTAATTCATTTGTAGATAAATATAATTTTACAAAAAAACTTATTCCAACAAATGATAAGTGGGGAACACTTTTTAATAATTTTAGTGGTACTGGGATGACAGGATTGGTTGTTGGAGAAGAAGCAGATTTTGGAGTTGGTAATAAACACAAATTTATAGTAAATTATTTATTAAGAATTTATTTACACGAGAATTTTGATTAATTTTTAGGTTGTTTTTATCAAATGTTACCACGCCGCGTTTTAATAGATTTTTCAACGGGGACAATGCGAAATGCTCTGACTTTTCTTGTGCCTAAACCTCAATTATCAGCTGGAATTGATGTGCCTTTGAAACCTTTTCAGTTTGGTCCATGGTTCATGTTGATAACAACGCTTTTCATTCTTGCTGCTTGTTATACAGTTGCAAATAAGTTTTATAAACGGTAAATTTTTAAAATTTCAAATACTTTTCATTTAATTATTGTTAATTCTTGGTTTTAGATATAAAGGTCATTTTTTATTTGGACGATTTTTATTTGAAATTTATGGAGTTTTGTTATCACAAAATATGAATTTACGAATTCGCTTTTTTGGAGTCTTGTGTTTTTACTATGCGATGTTAATGACAATTTTTTATAATAGTGTACTATCCAGCATCATGACAAAACCAATGTTAGTATTTATTTATAATTATATTTATTGTAATAGAGAATGCAATAATTATATTCCAGTTACGCCAAATATATTCAAACAGGACATGATTTAGATGCCAGCGATGTGCAAATATTAGGATTGTCTAATTCCTACGTTAGTGTTCTTAATGAAGTCAGTAAATTATTTAATTACTATCCACAACATAATTATTTAATTAAACTAACATTTTAGAATGCGTATGGTAATATAATTTCAAAGTTCAAGAATGTAACACCGAATGCTTTCGACAATATCCTAAAAAGAACAACATATTTAGCTTTGGCAATTGATCATTTAGATTTAGGATTCTCCTTATCTGAATACAGCGATGTTCTAAATGTAGAACGATTGGAAGAATTTGTATTATTAGAAGAAGATTTGTCTTTTGAGTCTTGCACAATGATTGGTGTTAAACATTCTGTTCTAATGCCTTTGTTGGACACACACGTGGCAAGGTTAAAGGAAACTGGTTTGGATTATTACTGGCAAGCAGAGGTAAATATTTATTACTAAATATTTATGTATTACTAAATATTTATTACTAAATATTTATTACTAAATTTAGTAATAATTATGTTTGTAGTCTTTTAGAAACCTGGATTACAAGAAACACTTATATCTGGACCGGTTCAAAAGTGTGGTGGCACAATTTAACCAATTAGAGCAAAAACATGTGTCTGGTGCTTTTACAATTCTAATATTTGGTTATATTTTAGGATTGCTGCAATTTTTTTATGAACGCTACAGGAGATAATAATGTAAAAGAAATTATAGGCCCACTAATCGATTGATGATAAATTATTTTTTTAGAAATAAATATTTTAGAATAGTAATTACCCTTGACTTATAATATTTTTTCAATATCATTGTTCAATCCTACACTACTGTTTTCAAAATTGAAAAGACAATGGTTGTACGAGAGGTTGTTTTCAAAATGAAGAATCTTGATATTTATTCGTTAGTACTCTGTTTCAAAATACTTAAAAATTATTATTTATTTGAAGAAAACACTCTGAAAAATGTTTTATTTCGAATGGTATTCTGGTTAACTACATTTATAGTAATATGCGGTGGTCTTGGCTATCTAGTCAAGCAGTATCAAGAAGGAGCAAGCATTGTAGACAATTCCTTTGTTATATCACTTTCACTATCAGGGATGGTAGCAATATGTGTATTGTGTTCAATGCAATTCAATTTATACATATTACTTTCAATTATTCACATGATAAGAGTCAATCCGCACCTAAATCTACAAAACGCAGTGTGCATGCAGCACTTGGAAAGAGTGAATAAAATGGAAAAAGTTTTGATTGTGTACATTTTACTTGCGGTATTTACACAGTTTTGCAACGTTGAAATTCAATTTTGTGATGCCACAGAGCAACACTATGGTTCTTGTGGTTTACTTGTTCCAAGTGTAAGAATATACTCTTATACTCTTAAAATATTCTGATGTGTTAAAGATTTATTTATATGTTTCAGTATTATTTTACTAATGATTTAGCCGGTTTTTATCGTCCTCTATACAATTGTTTGCTATTTGCAATTCTTGTTTACATATCAATAGGAGTATGCTCCGTTGCGGTAGTAATATTTTTTATAGTGATATATTTAGAGACATTATCCGATGTTCTAAATGAAACATTGATGGAAGTTAAGCACATTACAAGCAAAACAGCACGTTGTCGAAAACTGCTTGTGGCTCACAAACAGCATTTGTATTTAATCAAGTAACCATTGCTGTAGTGTATAAATTAAGAAAAATAATGGTACATTATTGTTTTTTTAGGATTTGGAACACTTTTGCCAAAATTCTGAAATGGCCTTTGTTAATGTTATTATTAATAACCGGAATGCAATTGGCGTTACTTTTGATAGCTGAAATGATTGTAATAATTAAAGATTTAGGAACATATAATTTACTAAACATAATATTTTTAGAAGTTTAATTTTCTTGCTGCTTGCTACATTTTTGGATACGTATTTCTTACGTTTTTCTTTGGAGAAATTGGGAAAAAACTACATGCAATTGTAAGCTAATCTCAATATAATATTATGTATTGTTTAAAATTATATATCTGTTGTAGGGAGAAAAAATTAGACATGCTACTTTTTACGCTTGTCCATGGAACGGAGATAAATCCAGTGTGCGCTTCTTAATGTTTATGAACATGTATACAAGAATAGATATCGCACTGATGCTTGGAGATTATGGCAATTTTTCAAATGAGCATGTACTCGGTGTAGGTATCATAATAATTTGCTAATACTAGTATAGGTAAAACGATATTTTCAGATTTTTAAATTTGCATATTCTATTCTCATGATATACATTAATTCCAAGCATAAATGGGAAGGTTAAAAATGCAACTGGTCAAATTTATTTCCACGTTGAGGTTTTTGTAAGTGAATTTCTGTTTTTCAAATCCATTTATGTCATTTAAATGGCGTGGCGTGGACACGAGCAGCAGCAGCGCAAGCTCCGCCCCGCAGATAATGCCCGTCAATGAAGAATCTTATACATGGGCAAAAGATTGAACTGTGTGTACTTATTTATTTTCATTTTTCAACGTGTGGTGTTACAATTTATTTTGGTGCGTTTGTCACAAAAAAATGTTCACATTGTAAGTCACTTAAATAAAACATTGTTGTTTGAATATTTCAAAGCAAAATAAATAAACGCAAATGTTGATGACGGTGGCAAGTAATGTTTTTTTGACTCTTTCAAAACTTATTACAGTGTCATCATCATTTCGAAAGAAAATAAAAACAAATCAATAAACGCCTGTATGAAAAATACTTCCTAAGTGAATTAATACTTATGTCTTATTTTCTTCCATTCCTATCCATATATAAATAAGATAGTTCTACAAAATATCTTGAAGAACATACTGCAATAATTAAAATTTAATTCAAGTAACTCTTTTTGTCACTCAAATATTTTTGTTTCTTTATTGTTTGTCTTAAAACAATTACCAAATTAAATAGTTGTGATTGCATATAATAATTTCGTTAACAACGTTGGCAGGATTTAGTTATCTGACATAATCAAGTAACAAATTGCTTAATATTAACAAGATTAAAGTAAATTCATACAGAAAACGTGTTCCGGGTCAAATTTTGAAATGGTACTACAAGAACCGATATCAATAGTAAACAAATTATTAATGCTAGCTATATTTGCGTCAATGTTTGCTTTGTGCGTGTTAGTACTTATTTTATGATGCATTATTCATGTTTCAATACAACATATGTCTTTTTTCCGGTGTGAAACAATTTGAAAAAGTAACACGAAGCAAAAAAATTAAATAAAGTCATCGAAAGAAAGTGGTAGCTTTGTTATTACAAAAAATGCGACAGTAGATACAGAAGATATTTAACTTGCCCTAAATTCAAGAACAGTAATATATTTCACTCAGAAGTAGTTCATAACTATTTTGTTAAATAATATATTTATATTTGACATCATTTGACGTCTTCTAAAATGATGATTGAATACAAAATTGGCCAGCATTCAAGGAACTAGATTTTGATATATAAATCAGTGTCCAAATAACATTCGACAGCAGTGAAATACGACCATGTCACCTCTTGTGATGTCTACAATCACTATTATTGCCCTAAAGTACTTCGAAAACAATTCGTGTTGGTATTATTTTGGAAATGTTGATATCAACCTAAAAGCTCTTTCAATTGTGACATTGAATAAACCATATAATAACAATACTTTTGAAATATTAAAAAGTATCAAATGTAATGGATTCTTAATAATTGGAGAAAATCTTGTTAAAGATGTAGAAATTATTGAATATAATTTAAGATATTCAACGGTATACAGATTTATTAAGAGGAGGTATTTGTTAATTGATAATGGAAATGTTAATGTTGAAGAGTATTTTGATACAGAAGTGTTTTATAAAATTATTAATGTGTTACTAATTGTGTCTAAAAATGATTGTTTGATTTTTATACTCATCAATACACCGGAACCACGCCTCAGAAAACAGTGCATCTTGGGAAGCATGTAATGATGCAGATGTTAATAAATTGGACTTGTATCCACAAAAATTTGAAAATTTATTGCAACGAGAGCTGAAAATCGCTACATTTCATTATTTGCCATACGTGAATTTTGGTAAAATTATTAAATAATTAATTATAATTATAGAAAAATAAATAACATTTGACTTTTTAGATAAAAACAATGGTGCAGAATGGTCTATTATGAATTCTTTCGTAGATAAATATAATTTTACCAAAAAAATAGTTCCAACCAACGGTACTTCAAGTACATTATATAATAATTTCACTGGAACTGGTGCAATAGGCCTAGTTGTGAGTGGGCAAGCTGATTTTGGAATTGGTAATAAAAATTACCCTTATTTACATAAAGTAAATTTTACTATTCATACATATTTTTAGGTTGTTATTATCAAATGGTACACCGACGTGCTTCACTGGAATTTTCAATGGCAACACTTCGAAATGCTCTTACTTTTCTTGTTCCTAAACCTCAATTATCAGCAGGGATCGATGTCCCATTAAAGCCCTTTCAAGCAGGTCCATGGTGCATGCTATTAGCAACACTTTTCACTCTTGTGTTACTATATACTTTTACAAATATGTTTTATAAGCAGTAAGTTTAAGTTTTTTATGTTTGAAAATAATTAGTTTCAAAATAATTAATTTTGATTATAGATATAAACGAAAAACATTTGGGCAATTTTTATTTGAACTGTATGGAGTTCTTTTACAACAAAATATGAATTTGAGATTTCGATTTTTAGGCGTTTTAGCGTTTTGTTATTCTTTATTAATGGCAGCTTTCTTTAATAGTGTTCTTGCAAGCATAATGACTAAACCAATGTATGTATGATATAGAATTTTTATACAAAATGTTTTATCTGCTAAAAATGTTTTAGGTTCAATAGTGCTATAAAAACCGGACGTGATTTAAATAACAGCGACGTACAAATATTTGGAGTAACAGATGATTATATATATTCACTTGACGAAGTTAGTGATCAAGATATGCTTAAATAATTGATTAAATTTAATATTTTAGAAATTTTATGGTGGAATACTTGCTAAGTTTAATGGAATCAGACCAGAAGAATTTGAAAATGTAATTCAAACAACCACTCAGTTAGCTTTAGCAATAGATCATCTAGATTTAGGTACAAAAAAGGTTTATTAATATTTATACAATGATAATATTTGGTATTACTTATATTTTAGGTTTTGCTTTATCTGAATTTAACGCTATTCTATACCAAGAAAGATTAGAACAATTTGTCCTATTAGAAGAAGACTTGTCGTATGAATCATGTACAATACTTGGAGTTAAACATTCGGTCCTAATTCCTTTGCTAGATAAACACATTTTACTATTAAAGGAAGCTGGTTTAGATTACTACTGGCAAGCAGAAGTAAAAATAAAAATAAATGTATATACACATGAAAATAATTATACTTAATAGTCTTTTAGAAACATGGACAACAAAAAGCACATGTATCTGAATCGCTTTAATCATGAGCCGGTACAATTTATCCAATTACAGCGAAAGCACGTATCTGGGGCGTTTTTAATACTCGCAATTGGGTATTTATTGGCATTGTTACAATTCTTTCACGAGCGATACAAGAGAACCGATCTAATCAGTAAAAAATTAAATATTTAAATAGTTTATAAATAGGTAAAATTGTATATTTTATTCATAGATTAAAAACATAATATTTGCTTTGTACAGGAAGTTAAAATAATTATTAATAAATAAAATTCATTGTATTTTAAAGTAATGATACATATTAATCAAATTTTACACATTAAAAACTATATTTTTGCGACAAAAACAAGTCTATTTTTCTTTCCATGATCTAAAATATTGTTCTACAAAAATTTATCAAAATTGGTTCAGTAGAATTTGCTTGAAAAAGTCACATATAAACAAACATACTCGTACTTACAAGCGCATTTATAACATACGTAATGAGTATATATTTTATTATACCAGACTATGTAATCACTGATATGACAGCTGTAATAATATACATTAGAACCTTTGAAGAAGTCTTTGTTTTTCAGCATTCAATAATCAATAATTAAAAGATTCATTCTTTACTTTACTCGCTTACTTATACAGTTCATGCATTTGACCGCAACGTGCAGTAAAGTATTATAAAATAATATTAAATAGATTAGAGCAAAATGTGTTCTGTTTTCTCTTAAATACTTAATACTTGTAAATATTTTTTATTTACAATATAATTAGGATAATTTAAATTTACTATCGATACCAGAACACAACGCGACCAACAAGTCAATCGGGCTATTATTAGTAAGTGTTTGTAATAAAAAAAAGCACAAAATAAAAGCACATTTTAGTGTCGCACCCAACAACATCACAATACATCGTTAAAGCGCGTTTAAACGCCCGCATGAAAGTAACAACGAAATAGTTTTAACGCTGCAGAGTAAAAACAGATTATCATTCAAACATACAAAACACATCAATATTAAAAATGCGCTCGCTTTGATGGAATATGAAGTGAATTCGCCTATTGGAACACAAAATGAGCAATTATTGTGCACAGTCAATACTCGTACAATACTTCAGTTATTTTAATTGCATCTTGAACGTAAATTATGATATTGTAAATGCTCCTATAGTGCCAATTGTAACAATCGATGAAAATCATACTTTTATATTAAAATCAACGCATTGTCTTGGTTTTATTATCAATGGGACTTCAAATCGTTTGATTGAAATTGTACAGGATATTGAGGATCAAATTCGTATAATACACCAATTTGATTATACTAGAAGAAAATATTTATTACTATCAGAGAGTGATGATAATGATGATGACGTAGAAATATTTAATAATCCAGTTTTTGAGCATTTGTTTGATGTTCTGTTAATTGTAAACGTTAATAATTGTTGTAAATTTTACGATAATAATTATTCCAATTGGAGTATACATCATAATAATCATAATCTTTTAAAAACACTGTGTTTTTTGAATGTTAGTGAAAATAATCCAAAAATACATTTAAATTCAAAGAAAAGTGCATTAAAAGGAAGAACTTTAATTGTTTCTTTGCATCATCTTGAACCATACACAAATTTAAGTAAATTAATTATTAAAATTTAATAAAATGCAAGTAAAAAGCTAAGTTTGTGTTTAAAAATGTAGTTACACGTCATGGTGGGGAATTATCAGTGATATTATCATTTTGTGAAGTTTATAACATGATTTGTCATCTGCATGAAGAACCAGAGCGATGGGGAACAGTTTACAGTTTGACAAATGGTACTGGGATGCGATTTAGTATTGCTACTGGTAAAGCGGATGTTGCATTTGGTAATAAATATAATATTTAAGGAAAATTTCAAAAGATTAATTTGTGTTCAACGTTTTATACCAATTTTTAAAATTTTTGTATTAATTTAAATTTTAAAGGTTCAATGTTGCCAAAACTCGCTGATCGCATCAATGGACAGATCCTAGACAGTACCTTAAGATGCAACGTTCAATTTTTAGTGCCACATCCTGAGTATTAATAAATATAAAAATAAATATGCTTTGTATGCAAATTATCTTTTTATAGACCAATATCCGATGCAAAATATGTAATAATACCGTTCACAACAACAGTATGGATTGTTTGCATCGCATTTTATTTGTTTATAGTCATCATTACATATTTAAAACGCAGAAAGTACGTCAGCAATATCTATTTCATTGTAAACAAGTTCGTTATAGATGAGTAATTTCTTGTTTACAGGGAAAAGAAAGCACTGAATGCAAAGGTGGATGTTTCCAAAGTATTTTTAGTCATATTTCGAATACTGATACAACAACCGACGAAAGCTACAAACAAATTATTATTGTTTTTAATATTCGGATCGATGGTGCTTTGCATTTACTATTCCAGCACGTTTTCCAGTCTCATCATCAAACCGATGTAAAAAATAAATCAATGATTGCATGTTTCAGTGCAATATTATACGAGTTTATTAAATAATATTTTTTAGATATAATAATCATTTGAAAAACAGTGCTGATGTAATCAAAGCAAATAATATTAAAATCATAAGTGCAGACAGTGATTATAAAGATATTATCGAAGTACTTACAGGTAATGTATTAATAAATGTTGCATAATTGATGAAATTCTTTCAGAAAAAATCTTTGGAGTTGGAAAAAGTTTCGATTGGTTGATCCTGAAGATTTTTCTTCTTATATTAATAAAAATCAGAAAAATACAATCGTTGTTATTGATCATCTGGATTCAGGATATTCGTTTGTAGATTATAATGATTATGTTACTGTTGAAATGTTGGAACATTTCCAAGTGATGCAGGAATCTATCAGTTTAGAGTTTTATGGAATGCAGGCGCGTAAACAAACAACTTTAGCGCCTTTGATTAATGATCATCTTCAAAGAACAACTGAGACTGGTCTGGTTACTTATTGGTTGGAAGAGGTATGCAATACTTATGCATATTATAGTTTGGGTTGATCATTTGGTTGCCTATTAGCAATATATTTCTGTTTTTGTATTATTAAAGGCTCAACGAGAAATGAATTATAGTCTTCAACTACGAATGAAAATCGGATTGGACCATACGAGTAGACTTACTCAAGGCACAAAATTTCCATTTATAATGGGTAGTCTTCGAGTTTTAACGGTGTGTTTAATTTTGTCTTTTGTAGTTTTTCTAATTGAAGTTGTATATTATAGAAGAAAACGATTTGTGTGTTATTTTTGTAAAAAACGTTAATTTTTTGGTTTTTACTTATGAATAAAATATGTACATTTAAATAACAATAATGTTTTTAATTATGTAGATTTTTAGATTAGATTTATTAAGTGTTAAAAGCTTTTTTGTTCTTTTATCATAAATAATATTCATAAATAACTCATAATAAATAGATCTGTGGACGGATTCAAGTAGACAAATTGAAAATGGAACTGCTTATTAAATTATTACTGCTTCGTTACTTTAGTCATTTTCATTGTGCGCTTGTTTATCAAACACACGTTGATGTTATTCCAAAGATCTTAATAACCAATTATAAACATGTTAATGTTTTAAATCATGTTTATTGCAATGGAATAATTCTATCGGGAACACCAAATAAACTAATAAACTTGGTTGAAAGTTTTGAAAATAAATTTAATAACATTCATAACTGGGATTATACCGAACGAAGATATTTGTTAATAACATATAATTCCGACAATTATGAACATGTATTTAATCATCCGATTTTTGAACAGATACACGATGTTTTATTACTGGTAAAAGAAAATTCCTGTTATAAAATTTACAGAAATAATTTTGCTACGTGGAAAGAAAACGACAATAACCAAATTTATATCACAAGTTTGTGCAATGGATTTAATATCTCTTTTTTAATTGAAAAGTTTCAATTTTATTCAAGTACAGATGTATTAAAAAATAAAAGGATTGTGTTATCCACTCATCATATTGAACCTTATACTAATCTAAGTAAATATGCTCGTACTTTAGTAATGGTCATACACGTTTTTTCATTAATTTTAAAAATAATGTTTCAGAAACAATGCGTGGCGGAGAATTGCAATTTATGCTGACATTCTTTAAAAAATACCACGTTGATTATCAAATTCTAGAAGAAGTTGGCCGGTATGGCCAAGTGTATGACTTGGGGAATGGTACAGGAATGCGGTATAGTATAGCAACGAAGAAGGCTGATATTTGTTTAGGTAATTATTAATAATGGAATAATTTTTCCATAAGAATGTAAGTATTTGTTTTTAAATGTTTTTAGGGGCAATTTACGCTAAGACAAATGATTATATTTATGGTCAAGTTTTAACTCGAACTGTTGGAAACCGAATGCATTTCATAAAACCAAAACCTAAGTAAAATTTTGTTGGAATTGTTAATTTCGATAATTGTAAATTTAATATATTTAAGGTTAATTTATGGTTTGGCTTATGTAATTACACCGTTTAATACAATAGTTTGGCGGTGCTACATTGGATTCTACTTTGTTTCATTCGGAATAATATATATTTTTAGTATAAAGTAATCAAAAATCATACTTTTTATTCAATTGTTAGAAAAGTACAATTTTATTTTAGAAATAAATATAACAATATGTCGGCAACATTATTAAAGATTTATGCAATATTCATCCAACAATCAATTAAAATCAAACATAAGTTATTTTATGCTTTGTTACCTTTCGGAACAATGCTGCTAAATTTATTTTATACCAGCGCTTATTCCAGTTTAATTATTAAACCAATGTAAGTCAATATTTCAAAAATAAATAATTAGGTAATACAAATTTTTTGTTTAATAGATATGAAAAAGATATGAAAACAGTATCAGATTTATTAAATAAAAACATGAAAACGATTGGAGGAGACGTCGATTACAAAGGATTTATGGATGTAACAAAATTATGACATCTGTAATTAACATGGAACATAATATTTTACTTTTAGACGAATTTTAAGCAGTTGGGTGAAGTTTTTGAAACAGTTCCACCTGAAAAACTTCGAAATTATTTAAAAGAAAACAAAAACACAGCGATTGCTGTGGAACGTCTTGAGTCTGGTTATACATTTTCTGAATTTAATGATTTCATTAATGTGAAGCTCATTGAAGATTACAACGTGTTGGATGAGGAACTAGACATCAACTATTGTGTCATTCAAAGCAGGAAGCAATGGACGCTTGCTGCGTTTTTAATTAAGCATATTGCGCATTGTATAAGTGCGGGACTGAATTTATTTTGGATGGAAGAAGTACGTAGACTTTATGATATTAACATAAATATTGTATACTTTGCTTTAAGGGCCAACGTGGCATGAATTACTTAGTTCATATTCACCTGATGAACAATGGGCAACGTGCAGAGGAAAACAAATTTCGAGGCATTAACGGTGCATGGGAAATTCTATTTACAGGCTTGATATTGTCATTTATCGTGTTTTTAATTGAGATTAATTATGAAAAATTAAAATATAATATGTGTAGAATTTTAGTCTGTATGAAGAAGTAAATGTATTTAATGTCAAATGTAGTCTTCTGATCATCAATTCAACTGGTGTTAAAGTGTTTTTACTTGTTATATTTTTACACGCCTCAAATCTTGATCACAAAAATACAAAGCTAGTTTCTTTAGCGTTAGCAGTTTTTAAAAAACTACATCACACCACCCGATCATCCGCGCGCGCGCACTTTGGGTTGCGGGGTGAGACGCAGCGCGTTCGCATCATCGCACGCTTGCGCGAACTTGCGCATCACGCACTCAAGAGCGTCATTTCGTTCGTTGCACGCAGACTATTTGCAGTTCAATTAAAAATGCACCGAAAATTCAACAATTCTCTGGAAAACTAGTGCATCCGAGTGAAAATTACTACCCAACGCAAGTAGGAGTAAGTTTCTTTCATTGCATATACGCGTATAGTCGTTTTTTGGATGAATTGAGTAATTGTTAGGTAAATTGTAGTGATTTATCAGTATGGCGTAAGTGCAACACACACGAAATTTGTTTGTTCCAACATGTTGCAACAGTGATGAGATTGAGGTGACCGCAGTTTCTCCTCCGCAGAGCATGCGCAGCGTTTCTTATCACTTGTTTGTTTACTTTGCACATTCTTTTGGTGTTCACTTTGTGGCAGAATAGTGCCAATAGTATACGTAAAATATTTGTGTGTGGTGTTGTTGTTTTGATTTTAATATTTTCAACAGTCCAACATTAGTCTATTTGCTGTATAGTAAGGTAGAGCAGTTTTATTTTGATTTTATTCAGTGTGTGAATCAAAATTATTAATTTATATTTTAAACATCAAATAAACGTAATAAGCATAATAACACAGTAAACTAATTGTTATAGTATGATGAGGTCGTCCTTGAAATCGGATCGGCTGATTTTTGACCCCGCACCCTGTGCAACCTTAATTAACCCAAGGACAAAGAGAAATAGAGGTAATCTGCCACTGGACTGCTGGACGACTCAGGTACGACTGAGCACTAACCACCTTACCCGTTGCCCTTTTATACCTGCCCGTGACCAGCGAAAAGTGGTGGGGATAAGCCGCTGCTACCTGGAAGATTGCCAATGTTGCGGTTCGTTGATACCTGTTAGAACCAATGGTAAAAAAGGGAGAAATGCAAATAGATGGTGATTATCACATAAACTAAAAGCGATAGAAAGGAACAGTTTGAAGATTCTGAATGTGGTAAGAACTAAGTATTTCCTATATGAATCCAGAAGGAAACAGGTTTGATAATTGCCCTAAAAGTAGATTTACTTTTGAGACGCTATTCTTTTAAACAAATATTACTAACGGATTCTGCGTCGCGTAATTATTTGCATTGGTGGTACGAAAACCATATCATGCATAATTAATTGTGAAGTGAAGTGAAGTAGGTATCAAGAAGAATGTAAGTTATTTCGACAAAAATTTCAATAACTTTTTTCATATTAACCTCTGCTAATTGTTCCCTCTGCTTATTTTTCAGGTACATATTCAATTTATTTGGGGTTTATTGTATCTCGGGCGCGTTCGTTTTCGGTTTGATATCTCTTGTTTTATTATCATTCCCCTAATTTACCTATATTAGTATTCTAACATTTTATGTTTTATGTTTTGACTAGAAGCACGTTTTCATATTTCGTCAATCTTCGCTTTTTAATCAATTTTTAAAAGTTCAAAAAAATAAAACAGCTATTTCGGACAGTTTCGTTCCTTTTTATCAACAATCTTCAGTGATCCTGTCATTTTTTTCAAAATTTCATTTAATTGAGAATAACAGATTGCCTACTTCCCCTAACCCAATATGTATAATCATTATTTACATTCCAGGTACAAGTGATAAACGTAATTCGCGATTGACCTGGAGAGGTGTAACGAAATACTCATCGAGTGCGGGTCGCGAGGCGGTTCAATAATTGGTTTATACCAAGTTTACAGCATAATTTAAAGTCTTTCCGAATACCAGTATTGAAAACCGAGTGCGTGTCGCGAGTAAGTCCGTAACTATCGTACTACATTCCAAACCCATGATGGATGAGGAGGCCCATACCACTTCAAGCATCCTACCAGCGTTTTGGACCCAAGATCGGAAAATATCGACGCTTCCTCCTGAGAAACTCTGACGTAGGATCCCAGTTTCTAGGAGCCGGATGTAAGGTAGGTGTGGTGATGACCTGGA